TCACTTCATCCTCTTCATGCATGTTGTCTTACTCCAAGCTGTATAGGCTCGAAAGCCTACTACTTTTTTTTTTTTTTTTTTTTTTTTTTTTTTTTTTTTTTTTTTTTTTTTTTAATGACATCAGAAACAGCAGTATGCGACATTACGTGATGGCAGAGCTTCAGTTCATCCTTTGTCATTTTTTTTTTTAAATAAATAGGACAGGGGGAATGAATGAGAGAAAGAGGGGGAGAGAAAGAAAGAAAACCAAAGGGGAGAAGAGACGGTGGAGAAGGGCAAAAAAAAAAAGAAGAAAAAAAAATGCTGTATCACCTGGATCACCTGCTGAGAAAGAAAAAAGAAAACAAGCAGAAGAGAACAAGAGTAATAGAATAAACAACATCACAATGATATATGGGAATATGACAGTAAATACTAAATATTAAACATTATTGTGCAGCACATAAGATCAACAGAACACAGTGTGCTTTGAGGTAGGAGCCAAAAAGGGTGTAGTTTGTGGGTGTGATCACCCGTGTGTACACCTGTGAGCATGGACGCGCTTGTTTTTTTAAAAGGTTCCTTCATGTAATGATCTGCTAGAGGGTGTGGGGGGGCCACAGCCCGTCCTCCAGGGCATGAAGCAGGTATGGAGGAGATCAAAACTCCAGACATCCAGAGGCCCCCAGAACACAAGAGACCAAGGAAGACCAACAGAGGGGCAGCTGCGCCACTGTCCCAGTAAAGAGCTGAGGAGAGTCCCAGATGAGGGCTCACTCAGCAGCCGCGGAGCAGAAGCCAGGGGGAGTTGCAGTGACGCAGCGGTCGAAAGCCTACTACCAATTAAGCATATTAGGTGATGTGCATCTCTGTAATGAGAAGGGGTGTGGTCTAATGACATCAACACCCTATATCAGGTGTGCATAATTATTAGGCAACGTCCTTTCCTTTGGCAAAATGGGTCAAAAGAAGGACTTGACAGGCTCAGAAAAGTCAAAAATAGTGAGATATCTTGCAGAGGGATGCAGCAGTCTCAAAATTGCAAAGCTTCTGAAGCGTGATCATCGAACAATCAAGCGTTTCATTCAAAATAGTCAACAGGGTCGCAAGAAGCGTGTGGAAAAACCAAGGCGCAAAATAACTGCCCATGAACTGAGAAAAGTCAAGCGTGCAGCTGCCAAGATGCCACTTGCCACCAGTTTGGCCATATTTCAGAGCTGCAACATCACTGGAGTGCCCAAAAGCACAAGGTGTGCAATACTCAGAGACATGGCCAAGGTAAGAAAGGCTGAAAGACGACCACCACTGAACAAGACACACAAGCTGAAACGTCAAGACTGGGCCAAGAAATATCTCAAGACTGGTTTTTCTAAGGTTTTATGGACTGATGAAATGAGAGTGAGTCTTGATGGGCCAGATGGATGGGCCTCGTGGCTGGATTGGTAAAGGGCAGAGAGCTCCAGTCCGACTCAGACGCCAGCAAGGTGGAGGTGGAGTACTGGTTTGGGCTGGTATCATCAAAGATGAGCTTGTGGGGCCTTTTCGGGTTGAGGATGGAGTCAAGCTCAACTCCTCTCAAAACTAAAAACAAACTAAAAACTACTTCCAGAAACATTCAGCTTTGATATTAATGAGTTTTTTGGGTTCATTGAGAACATGGTTGTTGTTCAATAATAACATTATTCCTCAAAAATACTACTTGCCTAATAATTCTGCACTCCCTGTATACAGAACACTTAAGAAGCTCCACCCCAGGAGGATTTAGCAAAGAAAGTTAGTATAAACTTGATTTTATCTCTAGCTGTTGTGGCTCTTCTGCTTTTTTTCTTAACTACAGCAGAAAACCTGCTTTTTGATCCATTATGCACATATACTTCATCCCACTGTCTTATTTACTCACCAAACTTCTCAAATCGAGAAAGGAATCGCTGGAAGAAGTTTTTACAGGGGTCGGGCATGGCAAGCGTGCCAAACTCAGACATTATGATCCGGTCCCGCTCGCTGTTCTTTTTGAAGGTATCGCTCTGCAGGAACCGACTCATGTACGTCACCTCACCTCTCTCAATCTTGAACTGGTGCAGCATGGCCATCCCATCAAACCAATGGTTGTAGCTGTCATGAAACACAGATGTTAAGGCTCGACTCCATTGTTATAGAAATGTTCATTTTGTGCTTTGCAGCAGGTCTTTATAACTCACTGTGTTTCTCCAAACTCAAACTTCCCAGGGCCATTGCGGAGGAGTTTGCCATTGATCCAGGAGGGAATGGTTCCCTCTAATTTGGTAGCTACTGGCTCAGGGGTCTCTTCAACAGAGCGGACCAGGGCAGCAATTGTCTCCAGCCCCTTCAGTACGTTGCCATTGTGGGCATTTTTTGCCTGATCTGAACCCAAATGAAAGAATGGACAGAAATTACCTTTCTTTAGAGCAACTTTTGCTTTACACTTCTTACAGTTGGACAATATTTCCCTTTTACTTAGTAACTGCTGTAAACAACATTTCTGGCAACCCAAGTATAAACTTTACTTTACTGTCAGTTCTGCATGCAGCTCAATAAATTAAGAAAAAATAAAGAATGAAAACAAGCACTCAGGGTCTGTGCCACATTAGAGCTCTTTAGTTGCCCAAGCTCTGCTTCTGAGCAGAGTTTAAACACATTTGGCTTGGTAAGTTTTACGTAACACTGTTTGTCCTTCTGTCAGCATCTCAGGAACATAAAAAAAAAATAAAATAAAATAAATGCCTCCCCAACTTTCACCTTGATTAAGAAACATTTAAAACCTGCCATTACTTTTTCAAGTGTGCATTTACTTGTCTTTAAAAGGTCGCTCATTTAAGTGTCACAGCTACTAAAACATAAAATATAAAGTATAAAATAACAGTGACATTGAAATCTGCTGTTCTAGTTTAGGGTGGTCCTTTGTTTCAGAAAAGCTACAATAAACAGCTCAGTGCCCTGCTGAGATCTTTAGGGAGAACCCCGTTTAACCACTGCTTCAGATCCTCAGTGAAAAAGTCACCAACTGCTTCTCTGACTCCAGTGTTAAAGACGCATGACTTAAATTATTCACAACAGTCAGCTGTACTGTTACCATCCCCCCCTGCCACTACTGACAGGGAAGGGCTTCATTTTTACAAAAGCAAAAGCACATGAGTGTTTAAACAACAGTATATTCTGGAGATCCACTCAGAGAAATTACAATGTACAAAAGTTTCATTTCTGGAGTTTGAGACAATGACAAACATGTCGCTTTAAGCTTGTTTATCCAAATACACCCAGTGCTGTACTACAGGGGGGTGACAAATTAAAGAAAAACCTTGGTGTTGAAACGATTAGTTTGATGTGGAGGGAAATTTTCTGCTATAAGTTATGGCTAATTATATTTGGCCTACAGCAGACGGGCTGTTACAAAATCCCCATAAACGTGGCGGTTGTGCGGTAAACAGCTAAGCAGCAGATATCCAAGTCTCCGATTACAGCCTCAGTTCTACTCTGTTTTCTGGTAGTGCAATGCCTGCCGAGTTTTTCATATCCACCGGCCTGTGAAATTAAATCCACACATACCAACGTGAGGCTGAAAGAACACTCTGTACTGATATTACTGTACATACAGTCACAGCCGCCCATCACCGCGCTCAACAGTCCAGCTGATTTATAGAGATGCAAATATGATAAATGCGATTTCATCAAGTGCGCTTCAAATGCTCGTGGCTTGTAAAACGTGCAGCTTCCTGCAAGTTATGAAACCAGCAGCGCATCGTTCTGTGCAATCTGAACTGTACTGTACAGTATTCACAACAAGGAGGAAGCTTACCTGCACGCTCGAGCTTCACAGATGACATGACAGCTGGTGGATGCAGTTCCTGATTTCTATATCCGTGTCCTGCTAGACCACAGAAACCCACTAGTGTGCGTGGAGCTGCGACAGCCGCCTGCAGCGATAAACTGCGTTATGTAAGCTATAAGAGAGAGAGAGAGAGAGTGAAAGAGAGAGAGAGAGTGAAAGAGAGAGGGAGAGAGTCACTTGTGCCTGCCTGGGCTTGCAGTCACACACGGTGCTAACAAAACAGAGGTTATGAAATAAGGTAGGCAGAAAAAAAAGAATAAACATTTACAACAGCAGCTACATACAGGCCTATACAATCATAAGCTACACCTGCTTTAAACCACGTGGTGTGCTAACAGGTGATTTTCCAGGTTTCTATGTTGTATGTCTAACATCTTTGCTTAGGGGCCATGTGACACATCAAACTTATTGGTAATGTCACAAGAAAAACAATGGTGTGCTTGGTTTCAACGTAACTTTATTCTTTCATGAGTTATTTACAAGTTTCTGACCACTTATAAAATGTGTTCAATGTGCTGCCCATTGTGTTGGATTGTCAATGCAACCCTCTTCTCCCACTCTTCACACACTGATAGCAACACCACAGGAGAAATGCCAGCACAGCCATCCAGTAGAACCAATTTATCAGAAAAGACAAAGGATAAAGTAAAACAGCTATACTGCAGATACTCTGTTTTTGTATAAATGTGTTTCTAAGGCCACAAGAAGCAGAACAAAGGCAAGGAAAGTCTGAGAATCAAATACACAGGAAGGTGATTAGGAAAGTGGAGACAGCTGAGGACACAGCGGGGACAAATCAAGAGTAAGAGAGGGAGAAGCAAAACTGAACATAGTGCACAAAAGAGAGGAGCTACTAAAATAAAACAAGAGGCAGAGACAAAGACAAAGCTGACATAAAGAAAAGTAAACAAACAGACATGACTGACTTTACAGGGAGACACTAAAGGACGACACATGGGAAAGAGTTAAAGGAAACAGGAAGGGAAATCACTAAATATTGCACAACCAAGATATGAGTAGAAGAGAGATAAATGTCTTAGTACTTTTTAGGAGCACTTTAGACAACTTATTTACCTCCAAATGTTTTTAGCAGCAAGCAACTGACAAACTATGGCAGTAGCATCTATGCTAATGCAATTTATCTTAACTGTTCTCCAAGTTAAGGTTTGCCTCTACTCATTCAAAACATAGTGTAGGTGTAATAGAATATCGTTGGCTATTGAGGATAATAAACATAAAACAAGACCACTCAGAGAGCGCAACTCCCCCTGAAGGTCAAGGGCTAAGGACTAAAGCATTGATGTTTTTATTACATAAAAATTCTGATGACAGCTTTGGTAATATATAAATCTACTGTAGTAAAATCAAATCTTTTGTGTCATTGTGATATAACATAATCTCAAATAGAAAAAATAATGTTTTAAGGAGCTCAGACAAAGAAAGTGCTTACTGCATGACCCCCCCGTCAATGTCTCCCATGACTAATATATTGCTTTAATATACACCAATAAGAACAATATAGAATATATGAATCAGGACTCCAAAACTTTACTTTACAGTTATAGGTTGCCGATCACTTTATTCCTACATTTATGTGTATCCATAACATTATATATATATAGTTTTTGGTCAACTTGTAAAACAGATCACTCTCATTACTCTGCAGAAAACACTGGTGAAAACACAGAAGTACGCAGTTAAATCAAGAAGAAATGTAGAGATAATAAATTTAAAATATTTAAGTGTGCAGAACTGTAAAAATGGAGTAAAGGAATTTAACTTATGCTGATTCAGCTACTAGCGCTTAAATGTGTATCATTTGTATGCTTGTTTTGTGTCTGTTCATTTATTTATGGTCACATAGTTTTATTCTCTAAAATCTGCATACTTATCGCTAGCATTTGTTTTCAGCTGCACATAGATGACTGTATTGCTCTTTAATTGTCTCAAGTAGACAACCAGCAGCCAGAGAGCTGTCCATATGGGCTCTGTGCGTCTATCCAGATAATCTTTGTTGGAGGATTAAGACCGGAGCAGGAAGACATTCAACACGACCTGCATTTGTCCAAAGAGAGTCCTTTAACCTTTCAGGTAATGTGTGTTTTTCTGCTTCATAGCCTAAACTAATAGAAATCCACTGTCAGTAGGCTACGGGCTAGCTGCATATAATAGGTGAGCTTCACTGACCTCTGCTCTGACCTCAGCTGCTGCTAGCCCACAGTACTTTTGTAAACACACTCTGGATTTCTCTCGAGGTTTGACTGTTATGCGAAATATAGAAAGCCGAAAAAAGTTCAACAACAGGCAATACTCGCTGTTCATTAAAGTTTATATCAATTTACTGTTGACATGGAAGAAAGTCCCCTGACATGATACTGTAACAGATGGTGCATTCAAGCGTAATTACATTGTCACGGGGCAGTTAATGGAGTAGAACATTATACTCCATACAAACAACATAATAGGTTTATAGCTGTCATATGGACCTTTTGCTTCCAAATGACTTCGGACGTTATCTGATCATTTTTTATTATTCTCATGAAGGCAGTAAATATAAAACAGTCTCTCAGTAGAAGGGATTTTGCTGGAACTGTAATTTTGTTGGGTCGGTGTTTTGAATCCAGTACAGCACTGCAAGCCATCTAAATTTTAACATGTATAATGGTCAGTTGAATTAAATCACACATCCTCCAAATTCTGTGGGCCATTTACAGTAAACACAACACAACTTCTGCCTATGTCATATCAGGTGTGGTGTTTTATTAATTTTCTATAAAAACACAAAGAAAAACATCACCTTAAAAAAAATGCTAAATTATTGTTCTAATTCCCTGCATATTCCGGTTTTACCGTTTTAATTATGAGGATTTAGATGCTTATCTCTGTGGAGGCTTCCTAGTTCTTTTCTTTTTTCTCTTTTTAGATTTTAATTTACAAAAAAAGTCTCAAATGAAAAAAGGAAATTTGTAAAATAAAACTTGAGGGAAATAGATTACATTATAATGCATATATTTGTTAATGGAAGGCCTATAAAGGGATATGCAAAAGCCCCATCATAGACACAAACACTGTGTAAACATAGATCTGAGTGAGAGTTGTAGCTGGCTGGCTTTATCATGTGAGAAGTGAAGCCATTAAACCAGGGATGGGGAACTCCAGGCCTTAAATGCTGGTGTCCTGCAGGTTTTAGATCTCACCCTGGGTCAACACACCTGAATCAAATGATTAGTTCATTGGCAACCCTCTGGAGAATTTAAAGACAGGAGGTAATTTAGCCATTTAAATCAGCTGTGTTGGATCGAGGACACGTCTAAAACCTGCAGGACATCGGCCCTTAAGGCCTGGAGTTCCCCCGCCCCTGCATTAAACAGTTATACTGAAATTTAGTCATTACTATAATGTTCTTATTGCTTGTTATTTAACAGTATATGCATTTTTTTTTTCAACAGGACAAATCTCCACTGCCGATCATAATGTCTTTATTGGATTTTCTTGGGCAGGGGAAGCTGTTGGGGGTCGGAGCTCTGCTGGTGTGGCTCGTCCTCTTCCACCTTCTTGTTAATGTTTGGCTCCTTTGCGTCTTCACCAGTCTCCTGGTAGTTCTCGGAGGTTGGCTTGGGTCACGGGCTCTGCTGGATGCCAACAGCGTTCTCCACCTGGAGCACTTCTTGCCTCTTGGCAACATTAACCCACCTCAGTATTCACCTGAGCACGAGTGGAGATTGAACCATGAGATCAACAGCGCTGTCCACAAAGCAGTGCGTGACTTTGTGTCCTCGTGGTATCGCACTCTGCTGCCCGAGGTGGAGGGCGAGTTTGAGCGTGCGGTGCGTAATTCGATGCTGGAGTCAGTGATGGAACTGAAGGAGCGTGCCCGGCGAGTGGACAGAAAGGTCATGGTTCAGCGGTTGCTGGAGGTGTACGGGGGTCACCTGCAGAACTACATGACAGTAAGACAGATACAGTCAACACAAAAGGGAAGCATGAGCCTCTGGCAGCTCTACAGTGAAGTAGACACCCCTCATCCAGCTGTGAGCAGCAAAGCTGCTGAGCTCAGCTACTCCAGAGCTCTAGTTCACCTTGTACTACACGTGTTGGTTCCATACCCACAGATGGAAACCAGGACAGGAGGTTACATGGTTACAGAACTTATTACCTGCAACGTGCTGCTACCGCTCATAACCAGGATATCCGATCCTGACTGGCTCAACCAGACCATTGTAGACATACTTACCAGATGCAGAGAACCGCACCAGGAAATCAACGTGGATGACCTCCCAGTAGATCCCCTATACAAATGTCAGATCGACCAGGAGTCCTGGGCCACCTGCATGTCACTGTCTTCTTCCGATCAAGCTGGTCTCGCCAGCAAAAGCACCGCTGACCTTGATGACCTGAATGAGAGCCGGAGCACGATCCATGAGACTGAGTCCTCACTGAGCAGCATGGTTAGCTTGGCGTCAGCTGGGAAATTTCAAAGCTGCCGCCCAGGTCTGCTCACATCATACAAAGTGAACTGCTGTCCGCTTACATCTGCCCATCACTCCAACTCGTCAGAGTCCAAAATAATTTCACTGGACTCGCTAACTCAGTCTGACTCGGATGATGATCTGAAAGGAGGCTTTTGCGAGTGTGGTCCTTCAAACAACTTCTGCAGCATGCTCACTTCTAAAGATGATGAAGCCTATGGATGCTTCGGTCCACTGAGAAATCTAGGACAGAAGGTGGTGGTGCCGGTGGACTCCCAGTGGCCAGCAGGCATAGCTGAAGAGAAATCTCCAGGTTGCCCTAGAAGAAAGCTTTGTTTACCCTCTTATAACTTGGATTCCCCCAGCAATGCAGTGGCACCTGTGAACATCCAGAATGTCAGAATTGGTGGCACCGTCACCGCAAAAGACCAGCGTGGCACCGGCATACATCCCTATATTCTTTACACTGTAAAGGTACAGTCATGTCACAGCCTGGTACAATGAAGCTGTCTTATGAAATTGGATTATTGATGATTGCATACTGCACCCCTCTTTCTGTTTAACAGTTTCAGACAGCGACCAGTGATGGCAGCGCCACTCCACAGCATGCGGCCTGTCACGCTGTCAATCGCAGATACAGCGAGTTCCTCAACTTGCAGACACGATTAGAGGAGAAG